TCCGGCGACAAACTTTGTCCGACTTTATAATTTTGGAAGCCATTTCCTCTTCTTCTTTTTTTCCTGCACCATCACGCCGTTGTTCGAGTTATTTTAAAGCAATAGTAAATGTTGTCAAGCCCATCAAAAACAGCTCAGACACCACCTGTGCCAGTATGAATTTCAAATTGGTTCACCACGCATTTTTGCCATTTCAAAAAAAAAGAAAGATCAAAAATGGCGACACCAAAAAAGGGTATCGAAGTCTCTAGTGGGTTCATTACAATTCAATTCAATAAACGTTCAGTTTGATTCAATTTAAATCGAAAAATACAAATTCTCTGATTTTGCCTTATTTCTGATTTCTGTTGTGATGTTATGTTCTCGAAGTGTTTCTCATAACAATTTCAGTATAATTTATGTCTGTAATGTGAATTACGCTACAATAATTGTGAGCGTTTTCTTATTCTTTTCCCTCCTAGTCAATTAGGCAGGATGTTTTACTATTCGTCATTCTTCTATTCAATTTCTATGCTTCTCGCCTCATTTTAACACAAAAAATATTCATTTAAAGGCTTTCATTCAAAGTGGAGGTCCCGGAGATTATCTCGTCTTCTCCAAAAATTTTTTGCTCTGTGTTCCTTTTCAATCAAGGAGGAGACAAAACTCCATTTATCTCGAAGCTGCATGAAAATAGATTATCTTTTTGATTCGAATAAAAAAAACACACACACTCAAATGCATGCATTGCGAACAAGCTTTTCTTCCTTCCAGAAACACCTCCCCCCTCCCCCGCAGCGGATTTGTCCCGAATTTTATTAAACGCATTTTTTCTTATGAGAATTAATATGTAATCTTCTATAATAAAATTTACCTAATTTTGGTTGACATAAAAAAAAGGACTGGGTTCAAAATATTTCCGCGAGGTGTTTTCAAATAATTACTGTTTTCATAAAAAATCAACGGCAGATCTTATTTTAAGCTTCCCGATTTAAACATCCTAGTGAAATTTTGACAACTAGTTTGAAAATTTTTCTGAAATTGTGGGTCTTCCTATTGCCGCCAAATGTCCAAATCTCAATTAGTGATATCAAAGAGATATGCAGACACAAGACTTTCAGTTCGATGTTTTCAGAAATTGTGTGGCCTTTAATTATGCAGCATCACTATCCTCCTTCTCTCCCTGTTTCTCTTTTGCTTATTTGCATGTATTCGTGGTAAATGCCAGACATACTTAACAGTAAATTCTCATATTAGCCACTGAGAAAATTAGAAAAAAAAACGTTGTGTATGAGGAAGTGGGAAACATATTGTTAACACGGGACCAATTTTAGGTGATTATTCGAAGTACACACATGCATAAAAAAAATTGAAGTATTTTTTCTCATTTTCGGACGAGAAGCAAAATAAAAAGAAAGATGAAAGTTGGGAAGAAAGAACTCAATTCCATATATCACTTCTGCCTTATTGTCCAAATTACCGGATTAGCCATAAATTTTTCGGCAAAAGGAGAGAATTTAAAGCGTTGGTGGTCCACTGCATTCATTCGTTGGCCCTCGGTGTTTTTTTTTTCCTTGTGGAGGCGTGCAATTCTCCAAAAATGGATTTTTGCTTTTCTTTTTTTTTCGTTTCACCATGGTAATGCTGGTTTCAAAGGTACTTCTCTAAATAACACGCATTTTTGATAAGCGATCTTCCCCCATATGAGGACAAGTCAATAAAAGTTCAAAAATATATATCTTCCGCATTATTTTAGAAATTTTGATTATAATGCACATATGTGGATTATATTCATTAGGATTATTTGTTTAAAATCCGCTATAAAGCTGCCCACTTTTCCGAAGACCCATCGCTAAGTAGAATCTTTTATATGTTGAATTTATCAGAAATCGCAGATAAGAATCTATTACGACTATAGAGCTTTTTTTGGTCTAAAACACGACAAAAATAAAGCGCAAGATTTCGATCTCGGAAATCTTTCGAATAGACTAAAAGAGATTTAGAATAGCTTAGTAAGGACAATTTTAGTGCTGGTTGCACAACAAAATGCACTATTTGTGAATTTACAAATTAATTCTTTTGAAATTTTTAATATTATTTTGGCTCCTCTCTGCTTAATCTCTTCCAGAAGAAAAATTTTCGAACTTCTAATTTATTTCATCTTATTGATGGTCTACAGACTTTTCCTAACGTCAACATTAGTTTTCAGGGTTGTGAACACCAATTTCCAAAAAATGAGGCAATCCCGTGAGTCGTGTTCATCCTGATCCGACTACTTGCGAATTTTTTTCTCAATGTACTTGTATTTTCGTTAGAAAAATTTTATTATTACGAATATTTTGCCTCAAAAAGTGACACATTCAGTTTATCTTTTTTTCAATTTTTTTCAGGGGATTCCGTATAAAGCCCACGGGTATTATTTTTCAGTGCAATTTGCACATGATTGGATTGGTCAAAAGCTTCCTAGGCAAAAGAAAAAACACGTAAATTTTTTTTTCAACAATTTCCTCCCTCGCGATAAATTTGTCTTCAAGCCGATGATCGCGTAAATTTACCGCTTGATTTATTATTCGGAGCTTTCAATTTGAAATGCTATTTCAAAGCGAACAAGAATCGATTCTACGAACTGCCATAGGGTACAGGAAACATGAATTTGGAAATTTTTTGGCCCCCCGCATCTAATATGCATAAATTATAATTTTTTTGTGGCAGTTGTTGAACAATAGTGGGTAAAATTTTGATGAACACATCGAAAGCATTGCTGTTGAACGATAATCAACAACTTCTTATAAATATTCATGTGGCGAAAAAAAATTATCTTTGAGCCCTTATAAGGTTTTTTGGGCGGGCCGTGTTCATTTGAAATGCGAGCCACGCAAAATGAATTGTTATTCATACCAACCTTGAAACTAACCGCATGTTTATTTGTTTTCCAAAAGCTTCCCTTTTTCGGTTTGTTTTTCTTTTTTTATTTCGTCTTCGGAATGTTTCCAACAAAACATACATAAATTGGTAAGGTTTGAGTAACTTGTTTGTCTCGATGCAATCAGCGCGCCCAGAAATTCAAATAAACCGAATTACCGAAAATGGATCGTTTCAAAAATGGTTCTTGTTTCGTAGAAATTTTTTCAACTTGCAAAATGTCAAATGATTTAATTGTAAAGACTTTCACCAACTCGTAACATTATTATGAATATTAGTTTTCACTAGGTACCAGAAAACAATAAGCATTAAACATCATCATTCAAAATTAATAAATGTATAGTTAGCTTTTTTCGTTTCTTAACCGATTTCTGGTAAAAAGAACATTATATGTAATCTACGAGTAAACGAGATACAATTACGTATCCAGTTTCACTCTGACGACGTTATTCTCTAATGAGCCCTTCCGTTGCATCATATTTTTTTCTGCATTGTTTAAAAAAATAACGTTATAGGATTTAGTTCGCTCCATTTATGGATGTTTCATACTGTAGCTTTTCCATTCGTGTTCTATTAGAGCGGTTTGAGCCGATATATTTTCCATTATCGCTCAAGCTCCCAGTTTAAGTGGGTGGAAGGGGTCAGATTCAGGGTGCACTTTGCCTGTAAATCCATGTTTTCAGCAAAATAACAACAAATTAGGATTAGTCGTTACAAAAATTCGTCTATTTCAACCATAGTCAAAATATCCTCGTATTGAGGAGACCTCATCTCGAATTCCCTGGGACATCTCGGTCTAGGTCTACATGGTTAGTCACGTGTTTATTGCAATGTTATTTAATCCATATGCTAAATAGCGTGATCAGTGTGTTCAGAGCTTTGACAAAAATAGAATAGCTCGTTTGTTTAATAAAGCAATGAGTCCTACTAGAGTGAAACACAACAAATCTATTCACTATCTAAAAAAACCAGACATTTATGAATTATTACTATACGCCACATTTTCATTATTCAAACATCTAATATTAAAGAATACAAATTGTGGACTAAGATTATGTTATCCCAAAAAATAAGAATACTATCTATAACAATTGAATTACCTTTCTTAGAATATACGCTGGCAATATTTCACACACCAACAATTTTATAAAATAATAATTTCAAATTTTGAACCTTTGGTTCTATGCTACTATCTAGAATTGGGCAGAAACTGTAACATTTTTGCAATTTTAAATGTGTAAGAGCGCGTTTTCGAGCAATGAATGCATGCACACAATAAACGCTGAATAATGCCAGAACCAATCACGATTATTTCCCTGAGTCAACGAAATCGGAGAACATTCGAACAGAAAAGCTTCAAAATAATGAGCAGAAACACATCAATCAACAGGAATTTTGCCAAACCCAAATAAACACCGTGTTATGGTCTTTTTTCGTTTTCTGTTGCTTCTTAGGACAATATCCTCACAATGGAATCAGAATTTCAAGTGTTTCCCATAAGTTTATGATTTTTGATATTTCTGACTCACGGTTCTCCAAAAATGAGAAGCGTGGATTTTAACGATAGGACCTTGAGGAGATTTACGAGTGGCCCACGAATGAACTCCTTTTCAAAATGATATCGAAAAATGGAGCACACCCTTTCAGCCAATCTCATCAGTCTTGTTCAGCACTTCCTTATTGTTTCTTCTTTTTTTTTCAATTTCAAAGTTTGTTAACCAATCGAATACCTCCGGGATATTTAAAGTTTTCGTAGAGTCGATGAAAACAAAAGTTGACGACTTATCTATTTTCAAACGAGCGCCCATCTCTCTTAATTATACTTAGAGTAGGCGTCACTGAGTTATTAACCGAAAATGTTGCAATTCTTCACCCAAAGTCTCATTACTTACTTAAATTCATAATAATTGGATGACATTTCCGCAAAAAAATATGTTTCGCTCACAATAATTTTCTCTTCTCTTTAAAAAAAAGATAAACCGGAAATGAATGGTTTAGAAATTTCCGAACTTTTTTGAACTCTAGTTTTAATGTGCATGTTCTGGTTTTCAGAACATTGATTTCTAATCAGCGTACACCTACCAAAGTGTCAACTAGATATGCTGCCGAAAAACTCGGAAATGTGTGCTTTTATCGCTCTCAAATCCTTAAGTTTCAACGTTCTTCTTGCCTGGACTGACTTCTGCCATGTCTGGGTATGTAAATTTAGTTTCGGAATACTTCAAAAATGAAATTCCAAACATTTTCGTTTTGTCGCGGTTTTTTTTTCTGCTGTCGTGATGTCGGGAATGTCCCCACAAAATGGCAGCCAATGTTCTCCGGAAAAAACGTTTATTGTGTGTTATGTTTTGGCAAATTACTTGTCTGTATTTTTTTTTCACAGTCTATCTGCTGTTATTCAAATTCAATCCAAAAATAGAATTGTTGAGTTGAAAAGAGAAAATAGTTAGAAATTGTTTTCAATGTAGAAAAAGTTTTCGTCGTGTAATAAGGCATTCATGACGAAGCTAATATTCTATTTTGGATTGTTAAGAACCTAGGAGAAAATATAAAAAGCGAACAAGACAATTTCGATATATTGAAAATTGCTGGCCAATGTATTTGAATTGTGTCACTCGGTATCATTGGAAAACCTGTCTAGCTCACCATAATTCCTTACTTATTGATATAATTTTATCAAGCTCAGAAATCTTGCTTCCTTCGAAATTATACAGGAAAAAGAAACACCAGACAATTTAATAATTAAATTCGGCTCAATACACAAAAACACAAAAACATCGGAACCATATGGAATTGTCTAATTACATTAATTTGTCTTTTGTGAAGTGTGCGAAATTTTCACAAATACAACATTACAAGTTTCTTTTATTTCTCGCTGGTGGTTCGTATTCGGAGATATTTACTTTCAGTTATTTTTCTCCACCCTCATCTCTTTTATTTACTTAGGCTTTTCAAGCAAATAAGTAATTTTGAGGTGCGTATCATCTTTGAATATAAATCTTTATACGTTTCCTCTGTTTCCTCACGTCTACTTCCCATTATGAATCATTCGACTTCTTCTAGGTAATCGGTCGATGGCAAATATGAGTGAGTTGCTCAAATTGGCGGCAATAACTAGCGAGCCCCAAATCGAAATTAGATGGCGTCATCCGATTCTAGCACTGTGCTTGGCGACGATCTGTTTGCTCACAATTGCTGGAAACTGCTTAGTTGTCATTGCGGTTTGCACCAAAAAGTATCTTCGAAATCCAACTGGGTTAGTTCGAACGTCATTTTCAGAACATAGATTCTAATTTCAGGTATCTTATCATATCATTAGCATTGGCTGATTTGGTTGTTGGTTTAGTTGTGATGCCTCTGAACTCCCTATTTGAAATGACTAACCATGTTTGGCTATTAGGTAAACCAAATGAACAAATATGGTTATTTCAATGAAATGTGCAGGACTTCCCATGTGCGATCAGTTTCACGCCATGGATATTTTAGCTTCGACTGCTTCCATTTGGAACCTTTGCGTTATTAGCTTAGATAGGCAAGCTAATTGAAAAAGGTTCATTATCGTTGAAATCTTTAGATATATGGCAGGGCAAGATCCGATTGGATATCGTGACAAGGTTTCAAAGCGACGAATCCTATTAGCAATCCTTCTCGTTTGGGTGCTCTCTGCGTTTTTATCATTTCCTGGAATCATCTGGTGGCGGACAAGCTCACCACATCTCTATAACGACTCGGTAAGCGTCATGTTTCCAACATGAATTTCCAATTAGTGTTCCAGTCGCAATGCTTGTTCACCGACAGCAAGATGTATGTAAGCTTCTCATCGCTTGTATCGTTTTACATACCGCTCTGTCTAATTCTGTTCGCTTATGGAAAAGTGTTTTTAATTGCTACGCGGCATTCGAGAGGAATGCGCAAAGGAATCAAAACAGTCAGCGTAAGATCACATTTAAAAAAAGGAAAACGCATTGTTTTAATTTCAGCTGAAAGGAAAAAATGGGAAACGCGCAAATACTGAAACGGAAAGCATAATGTCTAGTGAGAACGAACCAACGTTGAGAGTTCATTTTGGTCGCGGAAAGAAATCAAGCTCGAGCATGAGATCCGGAAAGGGACGAGATTCTACTAGACTTTTGCTCAAACAGGTAATTTGAAATAATTGAGGCGAAATTCTGGAAATGTATGCAATTTTAAAGGTCTCTTGCAAATCTTTGAATGATCGTGCAGACAATAACAACAGTGTTCGTCAGCCACTATTACACAAAGAGACATCCAATGTTGAATTGCTACCATCTCCTGGACCATTTCGTGTTCGTGCAGCCAACCTGAATCGCAACAAATCAACTCGACTACAAATTGAGCCCGTAAGCAGCTAAAACAATTCAAAGTTTGTGTTTGATTATGAGATTTAAGATGAATGGAATGTGCAACTCGTCGTCCGAAATCACCATCGCCTCATCGGGCAATTCATCATCGCGAAGAAAGTTGAACGTTCGCGAGAAATCTCGCCAAATGATGCGTTATGTGCACGAGCAGCGCGCCGCGCGTACCTTGTCGATTGTCGTTGGGGCATTCATTCTCTGCTGGACACCGTTCTTTGTGTTTTCGCCGCTCACTGCGTTCTGCGAGGATGTGAGTAGAGAACAAGGAAGAGAGATGAAGACATGAAATAGTCTATGCGCATTAGGAAATAGAGATTTCATTAAAATTCAAGGATTCCCTTAAATAAGTTAAATTGAATGGCTGAAGGTTGCTCGATAGAATTTTTCATAGTTGACAGTCTGCTGGATTGAGTGCTTTCAAAAAAATTGAAACCAATTTCGATAAGAGCCAGCAAGTCTTTTTTTAGCTAACCATAGAATAATTGAATTATTCCAGTGCTTCACCAATAAGGAAACAATTTTCACAATTGTGACGTGGGCTGGACATCTCAACTCAATGCTGAATCCATTCATCTATTCACGCTTCTCACGAGATTTCCGTCGAGCTTTCAAGCAGATATTGACATGTCAGCGACAGCGAAAAGTGAAGACGGCGTTCAAAACGCCATTATCCTTGGTTTTCACGCAACTCATCTCTGTCACCCAAATGTGGGAGCAACCACCGAATACTGTTATCCAATAAGCTTCCTCCTTGTATTTTCAAAGAAAGCTTCTTCTTTGTATTTTTTTCTTTTTTGAACTTAAAAATAAGTATTCAATACTGTTCCGCAGTGATCTCATTACTCGAAGTGTTGCCAAAATTCCCAAATCCCATGGTGCCATAACCTCTGTTGCATTTTTCCTCGCAGTATGTGTATACATAAACGAATTGCATAAACATGTTTCGATTGACTTTAAATATGAATATTGAATTGCGAATTAGCTACACTCCCGGCCGCTCCGATCTCCACCACAATACTGTCTCTGTTTCACACGTGTATTGATTTTTAGCACCCCCCCGCCCCCAAAGTTACACCCTATCCTGATTACCAACATTATTTATTTTTAAACGTAATATTTATTTTTTTCCATTTTTCGCTGTAGCAATATATAATAATAAATAAAGTTAGAATAAAACATTGAAAATGTATTATATTGAATAGAACAATACAACCATTGTTGGACGGGAAAGAGAAAAATTTGGAATAATTGAAAGATGAAACGGAAATCTTTTTTGGTATGTTTCTTGAGTTTCAATTTTTTCAATTTTACAAAGCTTACACGTTTTGGAAATTTCGATTCAAACTCGAAGAAAACGTGAATAGCTGCGCTTATTAAACTGTATTTCCATGCCTTTGCTTCTCTTCTATTAAATTAGCTCTATTACTAGACACTTTACACTTTAAGGAATACTTTATTTTTGCTATCATTTTCAAACTCATCCTTCTATAATAAGTTTTATTGATCGCGCATAACTTTGCTTATTGGCATGCAGCGAAAGATAACCACGTTATGGTGACCCCACCATATGTCTGGTCGGAGCCATGAGTGTAATCTGCACATCACGCCAACTACATACTTCGCACGCGATCTTCTAGACGCGTATTCTCGACGCTTTAATTGGCTTGGCGGATAGATTTCGCCGCTTTTTTGAGGATTTTTTGGATAAACTTTTATTTTTTTATTTGTCATCATTAAATGGTTAAATTTTGAAATCGAAGCAATTTTTTGAATAGAAAATTTTTAAATCTAAATAACAAATAATTACTTATTATACTAATTGGTTGCATTTGAGTTCCAAAAAACATATCAATCATAAATCGCATTCAATATTATATAATGTAAAGAAATGAGTTTTTATTTAAATGTGAATATCTTCATTTAAAGAAACTTGAAGCATCTTCGTTTTCTAAGAATATCCCACTTTTCCTTACTTCAATATGCAAAATAATATTCAATAAGAATATAAAGCTATCTTTTAACCCTTCTCATCACTTGCCACCAAGCTTGTTGTATTTCACAAGTAACTTAAAATATCGAAACAAAAAAAACATTCAATAATAGAAGAAGGTCGTGTCTCTGAGGAATTTTGCAGACAGATCTCATGAATATTTCCCTCTAAAAATCTCATATATTTCTCTCTACAATACCAAAAAAATGATGAGAAAAATATTCGAAAATATTTATTTTTGAAATTCGATTATAAATTAATATTGGGCAATGTTTATAAACAATTGTTCTCGCATTTTCAACGAATATTATTCGCATTTATTCGAAGCCAGTATGTTTTCGATAAAAATAAAACTTAATATTTCATCTGTTTATGGATAAAAGTGCATCAAAATGTTCACAAAATATATCTAATCTCTATCAATTTTTCTTGTCGTATGTTTTCAAAACACTCGTTTTGAAATATCCAGCTGATTAATATTATTCCCCGTTGTTTTGCCTAATGATCATCATGCGACTTCTAACGAAAAAAAAACTATAGGGGAATTTAATTAATACTAAAGCTGCTTCATTACTTGAAATCTCCGTCGAAGACTTTCGTAACGAAATCACGTAGCCTCGATTAATGACATTCCAACTTTGACAATAGACAAGAATTGAAATTCTATACCTTCTTCCCGAAATAATGCCAATTTGAATATTTTTCCCAGTGCGCTCGTTTACGATGCTCCGCTTGGACACCCACCACAAATTACAAGCGTGGCCTCGCAGTACCACCCTGTCAGGCTTGTCTTGAGCCCTCTTCGTTTGCACACTCTCCAACAAACATATTTTTCGATTAGAGCTGTCTTTTCATCTTTACGAATGTGTTACATTTATTCAAAACAATTTGTATTATTCAATTTCACATTATTCCCCGCATTTGTTTCATTCTATTATTACTAAGGTCATCGTTCAAATTTCATATCCCAAACGCTTAATTAATATATGAAGAAACTATTTTCCATTTTCGAATTTTGCGTTTTCAGGATTACCCGTGCAGAATATCAATAATGGACTCAGCAGAAGCATCGCCATCAAATACTTGTAAGAATTTTGGTTGATTTAAAAACCCAAAAAGCAAATATCGACAAATTCGAAAAAAGTTATTCCTAGGTAATAAGAAATATATGTATTGAAATCATTTACATTCATTGTATTCGCTGGAATAAAAAAGCTAATGGTTTATAACTAGGCTGTCGTGATTAGCTCAGTAATAAGATAATAGTAGTTAGCGAAAATAACATAAATTTTTGTTTTGATATTAGATGTTCAAATCGTTGAAAATAGGTAAAACGGTTTAGTGTCGATACTTGGATCAAATAAAATTATAGTTAATTTTGCAAACTAGTTTATAAAGTTTTCTGAGTTCATTTTTTTCTGAAAATAATGAGTCGGATAACTTTATATCGCTGAAAAATTATTGAAAAAATATTTTGAAATTTTATGAAAAGGTGAATAAGCAGTTAAACATTGTTTGTCAAAATTTGTGGCAAACATATAATTTTTCGACATGTGATCTTTCAGTACCTTTCCGTTCATGGTATTATAGCTTTTATTTCCAGTTATCAATTAAGAGCAACCTTTTATTAACCGAAAACTAGAATACATAGCATGTTCTGGAAAAAATTGTTATTGGTTTTCAGGTATAAAGTCGCGATAATTGTTAGCACTTTTCTAGCATAATTGCCCCAGTCCGAAATGACGTTTCACTAAGAAATTGTATTCAAACACGTACTTTTTAAAGAAACATTAATGCTGAATTTGTAATAAAATGATGGAATATAGCTTGATTTTGGAAAAAAAACGACTTACAGAATCAGTGACCACAAGATTCAAGTTAATGCCCTTATTTTGAGCCAGAAATCGATTATTTTAGTTATATTAATTGCGAAATTGAATTGAGTTTATTCACAATTTTCATGGAAGTTTTTTGATATTCGAATATCAAACAATTAAGATAGACTCATTTTGGATAAAAAGTTTTCGTAGGGTTTCTTTTTTTTTATAATTTAGATATTTCGTTTTTCCTTAATTGTATCCATCCCCGATTTTAACTTATCGAAAACAAGAGTTGATCCGGCGGTAAACATCAAATTACGCCAGGTAATTCCTTTGGAATTAAATCATGTTAGTGCCAACCAGAACAAATAAAATCATAAAATTACATAAATCCTTTGATTTAAGTAGTTTAGAAGAATCAAATAGATGGTCAAATTAAGGATCCTTCAGATTTTTGTTTGCTTCGTGGTTTTTGCGTTCTTCCCTTGATTTTGTGCGTTTCAAAGAATATGCCTTGTTTTTGGCAGGTTTCTGCGAAATGTCGAATCAAGTTTAATTGTTTACGCATTACTCATAATTGTTTTTCAATCTTTTTATATCGATGAATAATTTATAATTGAGTTAAGTATGAGTTATCGATGTGCTCTTCTAAATTTCTCGAAATATGCATTACTTGATGATGAAGACCTTCGATAATTGGGTTTATTTCTGCCCCCGGTACGAGCCCCGCCCATTGGTTTCTTGATTATAGGTGTTGAAATAACACAAATTCTCAAATGCTTTCAAACGTTTTCCGACTCGTGCTCAACCTACCATAATCAATAATGTTTCTCTCCGTCTTATTGGCTCTAGTAAAAAAAAACGGAGAACCGGAGCTTAAAGAAAACTGCCAATTGAGCTTCATTCTCACGAATCGTTCCCAAGCAAGACAAATTGCATGTAAAAGGCGTTTTAGCTCTATCCTGTCAACGTCAATTCCATGTGCCCATAGCTAAACACTGTGAAACCAACAACCTTGAGCAAAGGTTGAAAATTCAAACATTTGAGGGGCGGAGTCGGAATGCATAAATCTGCGAGATGCGTCCGTGTTTAGACGGTTCCCTCGCTATTATGGATGGCTCGACCCACTCGCCATTTTTTTTCTCCGCAATTCTACGTGCTTATATTCGAGCAAGAGTGCACACATACTCATTTCGTTGGGAAAGTACCTATTTAGTATAGTTTTCCTAATTACACGGAAAACGTTCAAACCGAATTTTCTTCAAATTGAAAAAAAAAACTCTGTCATTTTGTGTAATTAACCTCAACTAATTTATTCTTTGAATAAATATCCAGAGGGAGATGTCATTGTAGCCTTATGGCCTAAATTTGTATGATGTAGTTCCATCGTATACAATATTTCAAATAAAATTTCCGTAAACAATCAGTCGTGATAAATTTTCGAGATATCCTCATTCTGTAAATATTTCATTTCAAATTCTATAAATTCGAACACAGTTGATATTCACCAAAGAAATTATTTACAAATAAATATAAATATGGTAATAGGCATTTTTTTTTGTGTGGCGAATTAAACATTCTCATGACGTTGCGTAGTTATTAGTTATTCTTTTCGAAAATCTGGAATAATTGCTCATTCGTAAAAATTTTTTCAGCATCGCCCAGGCAATATTCGGATATCGAAATGAGCACTACATCGTCGGCTGCATCAAACGCGGAAGATGGTGATTTGAAGCTTCCGCTCGACGCTTCGTCTTACAATGGTCTAAAATCAACGGCGACACCGATCGTTGAGGCGAATGCTAAAAATGGCACCACCAATTCGTCTGGATGGGTGCGTTTAAACGTGGGCGGAAAGGTTAGATTGTCCAAGGTTATTTTATTACGTTTCATTCATAGTTTAGGTTTTCCAAACTACACGTTCGACTTTGATGCGTGAGCCAGGGTCTTTCTTGCATAGACTCTGCCAGGACGAGGTTGATCTCCCAAGCGACCGGGTAAACATTGAAGAGAAATACATAGTGTCAGGAAGGTAATCTCAATTATTTAGGATGAGTCCGGCGCTTATCTCATCGATCGAGATGCAGAGTTCTTCTCGCCGATTCTCAACTATTTGCGTCATGGCAAATTGATTCTCAATCCGGGAATGTCGGAAGAAGGCATTCTTGCGGAGGCCGACTTCTACAATCTTCCCATTCTCAGCCAAATGCTTTTGGAGAGAATTCACGAGCGCGAACATTCGGCTAAATCGGTAACCATTGATATCGAAATCCAGTTTTCCAATCTTCCATTTCAGCCGCTCAAATTTGTCTACCGAGTACTTCAGTGTCATGAAGAAGAATTGGCATCCGTGGTTTCGGCGATGAGCGACGGATGGAAGATCGTACAAGTCATTCCGATTCACTCGAGCTATTCAGCATACTCGACCGAACAACAACAAGAATACTTGTGTATTGTCGAACGCGAGTGCATCGACAAAGACGGCCAGATTCCAGAAGGCCAAGACCGCGCGAAACTTCTTCAACAGCGCGCAAGACGTAATAAGCATCCCAGCTTTTGAAAACCCAAGCTCTTCAATTTCAGACAATTAGTTCCTCACTGTTCTAAAGATCTATTCATCGGGTTTTAATCTTCTTCCACGTATTTCAAATTCATTGGTACCCTATAAAACCCAAAGCCCGATGAACCGAACAGCCAGTTCCATCGAAAAGCATCTCACCATATTTTCAAGAGATTCGACATTTGCGAACTTAAATTATTTTAAAACCAGCCGCTTGATTAAATTGTGTTTCGTAATTTCGTACATAACTATTATTCTTTGTCTCCTAATTTATTATTATTATTATTATACGCTGTTAAGTATTGGTATTGAGTTAGTCGTGTTTGCTCTAATTAATGCTGAATAAAAAGTTTTCGAAACAGAAAACATCGTGGGTGTCGCCGGAAACAGGCTTCACATAGCGAAACCATTGCAAACCGAAACCAATTTTCTTGAGATGATGATGAGGCTTTTAGAAAAAAAAAACGTTTGAGTGGCTAGTTTAGATCTCAATTAAAATGAAAAATGGTTGAAGTAATTATATAAATAATTGGAGCGCTTACGGATAACAGGGTGGAGGTTTCTGTTTGGATTCTCGATTCAATCATGATTGAATCATGAATGAAGTTTTAACGTGGGAACCGCGTCGCTGTCTGTTTATTCATGCAAATAAATTCTGCGCGATGAAACAGCGCCGATTGTCGTCCTAGTCGCGTGTTTCTTTTTCAATTAAACGCTCAGACTTTTTTAGACCTTTTAGTCTATCCAATCAGTCTATGTGAGCGCAGATCACTATATTACAGACTTCGGTCGTTGGAGATTGTTCTACATAGGAGTCGATTTGAAGGCTTAAAAATGTATCTGAGCGATTAATTGAAAAAAAAAGCTCATTTAAAATTCAATATTCCAAATAAGAGCAACAAGGAACAAATTCCAAGCTGTTGAACCGGAATGAAACAGGGCACACGACTTTCTTTTCGTAACATCCGTCGCAGAAAAATGCGAGTCTAGAAATTTTTGCCGCGATACCTTGTATCAAATTTCAAATGCAATATTTTCTAAACACTTGCTGCACATTTTAAATAATTTATTCGATTTCTTCCTTATGTATATGACCGAGTATCACACCAGAAATTTCTAATGCGTTCGGAAACGTTAAAAAATGTCAAATTTGTCATTTCCATTATGGGGATTATTTGAAGGCGATCTGAAAAAAACACTAAGAAGTTAATGCTTCAATTATGCCACCCATTGGGGGATTCGGCATCGGGAAGCAATAAGCAGACTCTATCTGATAATATAATGGCTTTTATTAGAAAATGTGCATTTCAAAAAGGATTTTTTGAATTGCCAGTTCTTCAAAGGCATTAAGGGATTTCCCAGTGAAGAGATTTGTTTTAGGGAACATTTTTTAGGCATCACAATCTCCAGAATTATTTGAATAAAACAAGCAACAGCAAATCGTCATTATGCTGAAATATTAATTAGAAAGGATTACAATATTTTTTGCAAATTTTAGTTATCCTAACTACAGGAAATTGTTTACAAGATTCTCTGGGAATTTCAAAAAATGCGATCTCGTCAAATGTCTCCTGGTCCAATTTTCATCGGGTTTCATCCATCACATTATACACTGGAAGCCTGGGCAAATAATGTTCAATTTTCTTCATTAAGCTTTCAAATTCAAATTACTTGCACACACGCTCGTTTTTTTTCTTAATTGCCTTGAGATGGGTTTCGTTCAAATTCAAATTTATGTAGATGACTTTCGAAATGATCGAATGGAGAATATCAATTTGTGGAGAAAATGATATCCAACGGGGATATGAACATATAATCTTGATGATCAAACATTTTTCACCTAATAAACATGCGCTGTACAGGCACTTTCGGACATTCCATTCGCTTTAGAACAATTAATCCATTACCGTTCCTTGTTTCTCGTCCCTGTCTTCGCCGCCGATAAACGATATCGTATCATATAATTCCGGATTCATTGTGGATTGCTGCTGATCCTGGATGGGATGTCTATGAAATGCGTTTCCGCGAATGATTAGAACCCTGTTCCAAGTTCACTTCGAGGTCACTCTCATTGTTTCTCTCCGGAATCGTTTGATAAATTGGATGTGATCGCATCACGCTTTTTACAAATTACTTCACAATTCTTTTTGTGAGACAGTCATCTCCACATTCAAATTACATTTAATATGTGTGTCGGATGAGAAGCGAAAGTTGTCTCGCGCTTGGAAAAAAAATGCGAAGAAGTGAATGTGATAACGTGCGGGAACGACAAAAAAACCAACACATAGACTTGATTTGTGTATAGCTTTTCGTGGAATTCCTTTTCAACATTCATTCGACGAGATGTTTATCGCGATGTTTCACTGGAATGCCATGCGTGCGATTTGAACGTCTGATAACCAGTTGTGGATGCGAATCCGGATGTTGAAACTGTTTGTGCATAATTTTGCACTACCCATTTCCTTTCGCTTTTTCACTATCGCTGCGTGAGATGGCGAGTTTGGATAAATCGCTCAGCAGCGAACTTATCGCCATTGTATACGTCGCTGCGTATACATTCAGGATCAAGTAGGAGGTGGAGAATAAAAGGTATTGGAGGCGGGATCCGCGGGAAGCAAGTATCCGCGTTTGTTCCCGTTGCTGCTTCCCACACATCGTTTTCCATTCCAATCCTGACCCCTTTAAGGCATTAGAAGCCACTCAACTGATCGAGTAGCATTTTCGCCCATTATCCATTATCATTTGTAGAAGTCGACGGTGGTATTAATCATGCTGATCGCTTTATTAGGCCTTCTGGCGTTGTCCCCCTCTGTCGCTGCCAAAGGCGTTTCAAATCCAGGTAAACCCTTTAAACCATTTCTGCCGAAATTGCGGACTCAACCACACGAAAAAAAAAATTATGTATTACCCACTTCAAATCTATTAATTTCGAGGGGTTTGAATGAACGATGGCTTTTCTCCAAAAAAAAGAGAATTATTTTGAAGCCTCAAACCCCATGGATTAGGTTTTCTTTTACCCTCGACACCAAAAGTAACTCCATTTGTGGAACAAATTGTTTCAATAGTCGAGGGCTTACAAATCTGACCTAGTTTTGGCCAGGCATCGCTAATTCAAACAGATGTCGCACTCTCGCTTGCCGAATCGTTCAAATTCTGGCTTGTTTTCTTTTCCCAGACTCTTCTCGATTCTTATCGATCATTATTAAAACGTGGAATCGATGAGAATGAATTCATATAATCATAAGACCGATAAAAATAATAATCGAGAAGCAATAATGATATCAGCAATGCATTCGTATAAGAGTTTTGACGTAATTTTTTTCAGCTATCTGCGAAAACCAAAACACCGCTTTTTTTGTCATCGACAATGCCGTTCTGAAATCGGATGATTTGACTGTTTATGACGAAACGTCGGAAGAGGATTGCTCTCGAATTTGCTCTAACAACCGCGTATAGCATTATTTCCTCGAATACCTCAAAAAACGTTTTTTTTTTTCTTAATATAGGATAATTCGGGACGCTCAATCCTTTGCGCTTCGTTCAGCTACGATCACGCGAAATTCTCTTGCACTATCTACAAAGAGAAGGCGAGCCCGGTGGGAACCGGCGAGCTTCAAACCATTATTGGAAAGCGATACTTTGAAAAAATCTGCTTGCCACGTAAGAACGTCTACTAATGAACACCGACATGCCCGAAGACGAAAAACAAACAATCTCGAATTTCCAGAGAATGTGCCAGTGCAGTGCGCCGAGAGCCAATTTATTCGCGTCGACGACAGCGTGCTCGTCGGCTATGCCGCAAACTTGACTTTAGTTGATAGCATGGAGCTCTGTGTTGCTCAATGTGTTCAAGAGGAGGGCTGCAAAGTTCGAACAAAAGTTTGAAGTAACCATGAAAATGGCGGAATTTTCAGTCGGCAATGTTCTTCTATGAGGATGGAGAATGTATTACTAACAAAGAATCTGCTCTATCAAAACCAATGGCATTCACGAAAGAAGAGAATGACAAGGTCGTTTATTTCCAAAACGGATGTGACCTTAGCAAGCGTAACAATAAACAAAATAACTTTCACCAAAATTATTGTTTTAAGTTGCTGAAATTTCTGCAGAAGAAAAGTCATCAGAAGCTTCTGGCAATGTAGAAGATGAAGTTCCGGCTGAATCAATCACTTTGATTTCTGAGACGACTCCAAAGACTGAAGAAGAATTTACCGAACCTCAAGAGACTGATGAGGAAGAGGCTGAATATGAAGGCATTGAAATGCTTCACAATAGTGGTTTACAGAAATTTTTAGATGATGAGGAGGAAGAGTTCGAGGAAGAGGAAACCACTACCACCACTACAACCACCACTACTGAAGCTCCAAAGAAAAAGAGTATAAAGAGCTTACAAAAAAAATTCAAGAAGCATCCAAAGAACTTTGCTTCGAAGACATTAAAGGCATTGAAACGAGAGAAAACTGTTGTATGAAAAAGGCTAAATCCTCGTCAAATACATTCTTATTTCAGAAAGTTAAAGTACCAGACTTTGAAGATGAAACTGAATTCGTTGACGAGAAGCCAAGTAGAAAAACGTTGAAAATCAAGAAAGTTATTGAGGATGATGGAGACGAGGAGGAGATTGTTGAGGAATTTGAAAAGAAGGAAAAGCAGGTTGACTACTTTTCGGAGTGGTCGGACTGGACACCGTGCACTAAGAGTGGAGAGCGTCAAATCCGTAGAAGGCGTTGCTTGGACCTTCGCAAATGCTTGGGAGCCCTCATGCAGGTTCAAAACTGTCCAGCAATTCTTCCAACCACTAGTAAGAAAAAAATCATAGAACCACTAATTATTTTGAAATGTAGCCGTTGAAAGCGTTGAATCAGTTCGTTCAATTGTCGGAGTTGATGGTGATGATTATGATGACACTTGTAAGTATCACAATTTTTACATAGCCAACTTTGCCCTTTTCAGTCACCACCTTCCAAAATGAAGATCATCCACTTCTTCAAGAGCAACAAGCTCCACAACTTCTCAACGAGCAGGTGTGGGGACCATGGCAAGGAACTTGCCAACAATTTGCATCGTCTCAACCATGTAATAATGGAAACATGATTGGATTCGAATCCCGCGAATGCATCGCCAAGGACCCAACCCAATGCGAAGGACCATTCTTCCGTTACTGCACATTGTCTTGCTAATTAGTTTCCAACCACATGTTTGTAATTTGTCAAAATCATGCTATCCAAACCGAATTTCTCCCAAAATGTTATTTATTCCAAATTGTGCAATATCCGTAGATCGAGTACGTTTTCCACCATGAGAATTCTAATAATTGTCAATATAATATATTTGTTCTATTACTTGCTTTGAAACGTGTAACAGTTACGATCTATTTTCTTTCATAATTCCAATGCCTTCAATAAAATACATTCGAGAGATATTTGTTGCTGAAGTATGAAAAAAAAACAGGTTTCCACTTTTGTACTTGGTGGTACCAATGTGGCCTTGATTACTGGCGTTCAGTTTTTCCGTTCATTCGCCGGCCTCTAGAATTTGAATACCGACACCGCCCACTTTGTGACACTGTAAGAATCTTCTTATATAGAATCATTCGACTTTCATCAACTTGCTTGCGAACACTCGATAGAAGCCCGAAGGTAAATATTTTCTTTTTTTAGTAATATTTTTCCCTACACCCCGTAATATAATTTATTTCACATATGAGTGCAATATTTGTGCTCTAAACAACCATGTTTTTGATTATTTGTGGGAATTCAGGAAACAATTTTCCCACCTTTCTTACAAATGTTTTCAATAATAATGAAATAATGTCAAAATATTTAATGTCAAACGTGGTTAGTAAGATAATAGACATGACACCTGGAAATCGCATCAACATAAAATCTGCCTTTTTTTTTATAATGATCTTTTTAAATTCATTTTGAGAGCATTAGGTGCCAGAATTAAATAGATGCGTTAAAAGAATTCAAAGTTTAGATCCAAATATAAATCACTGTTTTGAAAAACAGCGATTCTGCAAAATTTATACAATTTTTTGTAGATTTGATGCCAGTTTTAAAGTTTTTTTCAGTTTTTAAAGGCAAAAATGTGGTTGAAATAAATTTCTAAAATAATTCCATAACACATAAACAGAAACAAAATTTAACAAAATTTAACAAAATGTATTTTTTGAATTGCAACGTGATACCCAACATTTCCATTACTCAAAAGAAATTCTGATCAGAATACAGTGTTATAAAGTACAATTTCCGAAAACACATTTGCCTGAGATACAGTATCTCATACATATCTTGTAAACGTCCTTGGTACAACATATATTCGGCAAATTTTGTGTTTCGATGCTTTCTTCATTATTTCGCAATGACATTTACCTCCCATCAAAAAAAGTCGGCAGTTTAAATTTTTTGTGCGCCTAAAAAAATGACCTTACATGTCATCATTTGCTGCAAGACCAAAACGATTTTCTGATAGAAAAACGCCCTTGATACGGTAGCAATTGTTTTCATGTGATGCGTCTTCGTTCGAAGATAGATTGAAAGATTAAAAAATGCGATATATTTTAAAGTGGCCGCCAGTTTGCAAGAACGTTTACAGTATGACAAAGATGTCACTTATCTAAATTGATATTCTGCAACCAATTGTATTCGTTTTTCAATTGAAATGCTGAAAATCTAACGATTTGAATCCGACAACCTGAAAAGAAAAAAGCACCATTTTTTGAAAAAAAAATGTTATTATTTTTACTTCCTTTAAAAGGAAATTCTGAAGGCTTTGCAAGTCTACGAAAAATGTTTTTCATATATCAAAAATTCTCACGAACAATTTCTATCGAAAACACATTCCACATTTTTTTTATGATAGGTTAGTGGTGAAGAAAAGATACCTGGAATTTATTATTTTAACTTATTTGAGATAATGAGCTCTTGTAAATAAAAATTAATTTATATTCATTTTAAGATAGTCTTGAAATGAAATTTCATTGCTGCGTGGGCAAAATTTAAATATTCAACGTCGTGATTTTCTCGAAAAAGTTCACAAGAGGCAATAAAAGTTGTATTTGTTTATGAAAATAATGTCTTATTTTCATTGTTTTATATCTTTTACATCCATATAATTCACATTTTATGAGGCACATAAACATTCATGTTATTTAAATAGTTGACAATTCGCCATTCCCAATGACGAAAGGCCCCGCGGCCGCCCAGTGCTAATAAAAGCGGCAACCGTTCTGTGAGTCAGGACACTGCACTCTACTAAAAAAACGACTGGCGGGTGCAAGGCGGTAAATGGCACGGGGACCCACGTTCACCTACTATTTGTACTATTTGACCCGTGGCGCATTGTTGACTTGTTGCTGTTTCTTTCTAAATTGTTTACCAATAAGCTTGACAGTATGTCTTTTCAGAAAATGCAAGTGCAATATTTCTATTTCGAACTACTATGTTGATAAGATATAATTTCAACTAATTCAAATTGTCACTAGAAAAAACATTTCTTCAGTAGCAGTAACCACTTTCATATATATTTTTTTTTTAATTGACAAATATTAAACAGTAGGGCGCTTCAAATTGATTATTTGCATCACCTAAATCAAAACGAGAAGGGTTTATTTTGGGATTTTGTCGCTTTGGAACCGATATATGAGTGCCCGTAGAGTACTAACAAACACTTATTGCACGCTATCACTTGGACCGTTCCTGCTATACTTAAACATCAACTTTAATCAGACAATTGGACAAATTCAAAATTTGGAGATCTTGTTAATTTTCATTAAAAATTTAAGACTACTAATCATTCCAGCGTTGGGAATCGATCATCAAATCATCACAAGCGAATTTGGTATTTTATTTTTTACGCTTTGTTTTTTTTTTCAAATTCAATATAGCAAGTACGCTTATATTCATATTGTGGAACGGCGACGGTGCCCGGCACCGCGTCCGCGGGGGCCGCGTGTGTCCCATTTTCTCCCTTCGCGTTCGATCCATTGTCACCCTAAAAGCGCAGCTGCACTTTCAGGCGCCGTTGGGGGGGGGGGCTTTTCGATTTGACGATTTTAAACGAAAGCTTCGCTCATCTCATTCATTTTCAAAGCGCTACTAATCGAAATTGGCTCAACAGATTGTACTCTTTTGCATCTTAAGTGGTTCGGGTCGAATAGCAGATGTACCATTGTTCGAGCTTTCTCTCTAACTTTTCCCAATTTTTCCATAAAAGGGCCAAAAGGATGAGCAATTTGTTCAATATTGTTAGCGCCTTTCAAGTTGCATTCCATTGTCCAACGTAATATATTCTTTTCAAATCACCAGATTCGAGAACTTTCGTTTCCTTTATTGTTTTATGTGAAAATGCTCAACATGAACATTAGAATATCAATTGATCATGAAATGCAGTACAAATAATGATGTTAACTTTTAACTTAAAATTTCAATTTTGGTATATTAGAATCACATATGAGCCATTTTCTAGTTGAAGCATATGCATGTGCAAATATTCTAAAATGTGTTTGGTAGAACTTTAACTGAATGATTTCCCAACCGTCGGAAAAAGACACGTGGTTCAATTGTTTTCTTTTTTTAATCAACTAGTAATTGTGGTTTTGATTCCAGGAAATTGAGAACCAAGTGTATATATAGCGAACAGATTTATAAACAACTTCCACTTCCCCGATGTCGTTAAGCAAGTCGTGAAATAAGCGCAAGGATATAAATTATGTCTTCTCTCATTTTTTTTGGGAATTTATGCGTACTACGAACAACAAGGTTACGCCATTCACAACTACAGATTAATTTTCGCAGTCAATTTCACTTCTAAGAATTTCTTTTTTTTTCAGGAATAATCTAAAATAAATACACAACACACTTTTTTTCTGTTATATCACATGGAAACTTTCAATCATTTCGTTAGTTGGTATTAATCCTCGTGGGATTCCCATGGAACTCACAATTTTAAAATGGCTGACATCTCTTTATTCTTGAGTTCTCCGTTTGGGGACTCCGTGTTCATTTCTGCAATGGTTTTTATAAGATTTATGGGAAAACGTACTCTCAAAGGGGATGTTGTGAAAAATTCAAATTTCCGTCTCTTTTGGGAATGAGTCGCTTGAAATTTTTGCGAAATCCTACGGTAGCCTTGAAAATCAAAGCTGCTGTTTCTCTGTTTCTGTTTCGGCTACAGTAACCGATCAGTTTCGTCTTCAATATTGCTTTCTACTTCCGATTTGATTAGATCAAAACTGTACTGCTTGCGGTTTTTTGAACATTCCTCTATGGTGACGACAACAAAATGCTTGAAAAGAAAAATTTCATAATGTGACGAAAAATAGAAAATTTTGTTTACAATCTATTCATTATTTACTCATGGCGATTGAAGTTTTGATTGTTCTATCCGATTCCCGAACGCAATATTGATCATATGGGCGGCATTTTGATTTGCAACGATTTGATTTTTGAACTGATGTTTATTCATGTTCATTTCTATCATAGCGCAATTCAATGCCGCCAAATTTTGAAATGGCATTTTTTTTGCAAAGTTATTTTCTTGTTCATATGTTTTTCGGTGACTGTATGACCTTCTCCACCTTGTACCTACCACGGAGGTCATTTTTCGGGGTGTTCAGTGAATTGTTAAATTGTAAACAAGATATAATCGTGATCTCCGCTTGTTTTCAGTTTAAACGGTTCATTTAAATACCTTGTTTACATTTCGATAAATTCCTCTTCTGTAAAGGATTATTAATATACATATGCCAATAATAAGGTGAAGGACGCCAAAATATTTTTGTTTGCCACTATGCGAATTTGAAAAATTCTCAGAATGTTGTGACGACTGCTGTCTTACTGTCATTTCGCCAAATAGAAATCTTGATGTTCATGTTTTTCGCGTCGTAGCTCCTCTTTTGATGAATGTGTATATATGTATAAGCATCATTCAATCACAACTAAGCCTTTCTTTGGTTCCTACAAATGGAGAAAATGGAAATGCATAAAAGAGAACACTTGACGTTGAACATGCAAAATATTCCATAATCACTGTGTTTCGTATAAAAGGGCAATCAACAATTTTTTGGAAATGGTCTTTTTCCGCTTGACTAAACGATTTTGAAGTCGTATACGGAAAACTACTCAGAAAAATGGGTCCAAATCGGAATATTATTATGGCCCTCATTTTGTTCCGTTTT